TCCATCTAAAAAACACTCACATGTTCACAGGGGATGAGCATCAGGACAAAAAGTTGAGGGATACTTTGGTTTAAATACGAAACCTCAGTTGCACTTTGTGTTTAGTGCTGATTGGCTAAAGGTGGCATGCTATCATTAAAGAGGCCACGCCCCTTTAAGAGACTAGCAGCGGGTCCTGAGTCTACTAATGCAATTTGGAGAAGTGAACTTGAATACAGATTATGAATGATTCCTTCGCTGCATAGTCACCAAATTTAAACATTAGACCTATTTTTTCACAAGCCACATATCTTCCGAACATTCCGACTAAAATTGCATTTTTCAGACATACAAATCCGGAGAAAATTCACTTTGTTCGGGACCTTTCTCTGTCTCAGCAGCACCCTCTCACAAGATCTGGTAACCAGCGTCCACAAACGCCCTCACTAACTAGTCTTTGTATTGCTAAATATGGCTGTTAGCTGTGTAAAAAGTGAATGCTAGCATAAGAAAATATAAATACACTACGCAAATATAACCAATTCTGCTATCATCCATCATAGGACGTTCATAACACTTCTAAAAGAGGTGTGGGCGGTGGGGGGTAGGTGGCTTAACTGATGTCCCCTATACATAAGAGGAAATTAAGTATCATTCCGTGAAAAGCCTTTATTTACTGATTAACAGCCTTGAGTGTTATATGCGACAGATACATTAGTCAGAGTTTGCCCTAAGCTCCCAGTAGCACATCGCGTCCCTGTAATCCTTCCCAATAGCACATTGCGTCCGTAAGACCACGAGAGGTGTTGTGTAACTTTCCCAGCACAAAGCGTTTGTGATAGACACTCAAACTCATCCTGCTCACTGGTCTGCAGCGCTGCACGCCTATACAGGGTTATTAAAGCACACATACACACGCATATACGGACCCCTGTTATGCACTCACACAATAAGCCATCATGGAGGAATTGGCAGATGAGGACATTTCTAGAGGAGAGATTACGATCTGATCTTTTAAGTGTGATGTAATGTGTGTCATTACCGTCTTTTCTGACCTGTAACAAAAAAAAGCATGGGGACTTCTGAGAATTCAATGCATGTGAGGGAACTCTATTTTTACATATTATATTTTCCATCCATGGGGGGGACACTGGCCAGATGCCCTGCTGTAATCCAAGCAAAGCGCGGTGTCCTCATGACCGACAGAAATGAAGCCGTCACATTTTTAACAGTGCGGCGGAGCGGTCGGCCTGAACCTCCCTTCCTCTCGGTGCATTGAGTGAGGCAGTAACTCTCACCTCGGTTGTTTAACCGATAGCACACACGTGATATTTGGCGTTTATTTTTTGTTTTTTTACAAACTCACGTCTCTGTACTCTAAAGATAAATGGTTGACCACAGAGAGCGACAGAGGGATTTGCGAATGCACTTTTCTCGCCCGACTCCTTTTAGCTGAGGAGGCTGAGAGGGTCAGTGTTGAAAGCTGAAATTGGCGTGAGGAGAAAACATAAAGCGTGTGCTGGTAAATATACTGGCACAGAGAACCACATAATAAAGTACCTACTGCTCATTATTTCAAGTTTTTAGTTTACAAAAAATCCCGTTTGCATTGAATTATTTGGCCTGTTTTACTTAAAGGCTCTAAACGGCATCGTATTTCCCATTTCTCCCCAACTGTTCCCTTCTCTTCATAATACTGGGATATTTAGGGGACGTGCACCGCTCCGTCCACGCCATGTGACTCAACATTTCACATTCAGTGTCACACGGTTCTTAAGACGACTACAGTGGCCCGGCTTGTTTCTATTTACGTCGCAGCGCGCGATAAGCTGCTCCAGGTCTAGAGAGCGTCCCTTTAAATCCACCCTCACCTAGCGGGTGACCCTCGAGACAGAGACTCTGTGTGTCTCTTTGACGCCCCTGAAATTGTGCAAATTCTCCCGAGAGACAAGACAAGACAGAGTTGTATTACAGTAGATTTTCATGGGAACCAGCAGCCTTGACTTTTACAGTAAAAGAGCTGAGGCGACACACACGACATGGCCTGCTGCTAATCGGGTTAAAGATAGCATCAGGTGAGCAGGGAATGCTCACGGACTGACCTACTGTGCAATAGCGCGCCGTCATCGCTCACCGGCCGTTCGTCCTTCACATCCAGAGAGTCGACTTCTGCAGCGCAGGTGCAGATCTGTAGGAGACGGCAGATAAGGGTTGAGCCCATGCAGCGGATTTTTAGACTCACGTCTGCTTAGAGAGGGAGAGACAAGTTTTAAGAGAATACAATGCGGGATCGGCTTTGGCTGCAAACGCAAACTGAAACTTAATACAATTGTACAAGACAAAGCCCCTTTGTATGTTTTTATTTGGTTTGCCCTCCATACCAGAATTGTATTATTCTATTATGTTTCCCTGTAATTTAATGTCAAAACATTTTTTGTTTTGTTATTGACAAATGTTTTAGTTTAAATGATTTAATGGTTTCATTTTACTATAATATCATCATTTTTTCACAGCCCAGGACAGCGTCTTCAGATTGTGTCTTGCTTGTTCAATTCAGTTTACATTGATATAAAATGAAAATAAAAAATACATTAATAAATATTAAGAAAAAATAAACTAAACTACAACATACAATCTTTTATTTTTCATTGACTAGTCCATTCAATTTTTAGTTTCATCATTTTGGGAACTGGTAGGCAAATTTTGTTGCCTTTGGACAGTGCCCGGCTAGCAGCCCCCCCCCCCCCCGTTTCCAGTCTTTATGCTAAGCTAAGCTGAGCTAAAAGTCTCCTGTCTTCAGCTTAATATCTAACAGACAAATATGAGAGAGATCCAACTCTCACAGCAAGGACGTGAAAAAGCGTATTTCCCAAAATGTCAAACTTTTCATTCAACCAACTAATCACGATGTCACAAATCCACATTAAACAGAAGCGTTCTCTCGTAGCTGTGTACATTTCTCATGCAACTTCAACCTCAACGATAATGACCAACTTTAACTCTTATAGCAGTTAACTGGTCCAAACAAGAAGAAAAACTTGATTAGAAAGCTTGTGTCCGACAGGAAAACAACTAAACTCCTCAACAATGAAGCCAAAGTTCGTCAGTGACAAACAATCACATGTCTGAATCAACGCATCGCTTCTGAGTCACTCCATTTCACATCCGTCTTACATCGATTACATGCAAATCTGTCCAGTCAAAGCGGTGTCACGTATTATTCCCGTGCTTCTGCCTCATCATAAAATGATGTATTCCTATCTAAAAAGTATTTTCTCGAGTTACACGATACCACTCTGTATTTATTTTCCCTTTGCCTGTGAACCGTGCCGTGCGGTGTTGTTCAAGGTGATGATCAGGCTGAAAAAATATGTTTGTTGGCGAAGCTGCTTCATTTCAACACAGGGCTGCAGATATACGATGACTCAGTGGAAGCTTTAAAGAGGAAGCCCAGTTCTGCTGTACAGTTCATTAGCATTAGCACATTTGTAAACTCTCTTTGCCCTCTTTGAGGTTTTCAAATTTAAATAATGTGGGAACAGTTTCTGGCTGCTGTGGAGTTGGGAGTTCAGCAGCGGGGCAGGGTGTGTCGGAAGCTTTGGATACAGTATCAATAAAGACAAAATGAACATGCAGTCGAATTAGTCACAACGTAAATATCCACGTGACGTAGAGACACTTTATAACAGCAAAGATACGTGTTCGCACAGTCAAGCGTCGTCATCTGTGAGATTGTATAGAAGTCTATGAGAAAATGACTCTACTTCTCTCTTGATTTATTACCTCAGTAAACATTATAAACATGAGTTTATGGTCTCAATCTCTAGTTTCAAGTCTTCTTCAATACAGCATGATGTTCATTTAGTACATTATGGTCCATTTAGAGTCAAATAGACCATAAAGCAGGGTATGGTGTAGGGCGGGGCTACCTTGTGATTGACAGGTTGCTACCACGGCGTTGTCCGGTCTGGGAGTTGTCTGTGTTTACTTCTTACAACTTTAACCCTTTCACAGTGTGTTTAGATCATTATCAAATGTTGGTTGTATTTATCTCCACCTTCTTGCGTCACGTCTGGTTGCAAAAAAACAAGATGGCGACGACCAAAATGCTGAACTCGAGGCTTCAAAAGTGCAGTCCACACACCAATGGAAATGCTGGGTGACGTCACAGCGACTATACGTCCCCTTGAGAGTCCATGCTTTAACACAGTGTTTGCTCAACATTTCGTTGCCTTTTTGTTTTTCGCCCATTGGCACACAGAGGGCAGACCAAACAACACCAGAAGATACAAAGCAACAGCGATGCAGCAAATACCAATATAGTTTGAAAAGTCTGATTCTGTCGCGTCTTTCAGCGTTGATTCGGCAACACTGAGGCTGTGCTTCTTTTCAGGTTGCGAGCTTAAGTAATAGATCACAAGTTATCATCCATGTTGAATCAAATGCAGTATGGTTGTGGCCCACTTTTCCAGCTCCCAAAGCTAAATCATGACTCAACGCAGCACCTCTCCGTGTGACGAACGGCCACGACTCATCAATGACACCGCTGTTGCTCCCGAGTGTCAACCCTTCACAGACCTCGCTCTTCATCACACTTCATACACATTCATCATTGTGTATGAAGGCCTACGAGCCCCGAGGCAGACAGCTAGCAAAGAAATCGGGGCCATCAGTGAGTGGGACTAAGTGGGGCATTTTGTACCCCCCCCCCCCACCTAAACTCCTCAGGGACTGTAAATGGAGGAGGTGTAGGATGAGCAGCGAACGCATCATTTGTGCACCGGCGACCAATTAAAAAGCAGATTTTAAAAACACCCTCACTGTCTGTTCACCAGTATTCCTCAGGTGGTTCCCGTGTCATGGAGACTGGTTCCCCCTCCGGCGGGACTCCCATGCTCCTCGTAACCAGACACCTGCTTTTTGTTTTGTTCGAGGCTCTCTAGGTAGATAAAAGAACAAATGGGGGGTGTGGGGGGGGTGTATTGAGGAGGAGAAGCAGGTGCGTCACAGACCTTTGGTTTCAGCTATTCGGTCGCAGCTCAGGCAGGGCGACGAGAGGAAAAGAAACAGCAGAGGGAAGTGCAGCGGGGAAACTTATTTGCCTGTGAATCAAAAGACTTTTGTTGACCAGAGCTGCAGTGAGCGACGTTTGAACAAAAAAGAAAAAGAAAGAAAAGAAGACAGAGGGAGAGGGAGAGGCGTATTTACAGGAGGACCACATCCCTCTCATGCACTCAATCACCTGGACGCTCTGCGGCAGACAGACGTTCGCTCATCAGACACTCTGCGCCCGGTCGCAAATACAATCAAACACTTGGGAGGACATGAAGACCGGCAAGAGATCCTTCATAGGTAGGCGCTTCCTTTAATTCACTGTCTGGATGAACGTGCAGCCTCTCAGCAACACAGCAGAGGAGGATGCACCACGAGACGTGCAACTTTTCCTTTTTAGTGGGTTAACATCCCAGTCTAGCTCAACCATCTCAATGTTCTTTTTGCCTTTTCGATCATGTGTATCTTGTATCTTTAAGACTGTTTATTAACTATTCAGCCCCCTCCACCTCTCTGTGCTGCTCCCTCTGCTTGCTTCGACGTCATTGCCACTGCTTGAGATTGCCTTTTGGCTGCACAAACAACTACATGCCAAATTCTAAAAAGGCATCGTTCAGCACTCCTCAGGTCTGTGCTTGCATTGTCTGGTTAATTTAGCAATGTCCAACGGCTCTCCCCTCCTCTCCTCATCTCATTTGTCACCTGAGAGGATAAAGGCTACTGCCGTGCCTCTGCACTTTAACAGGGAGGCTGAAAGATCGGATGATTTACGGTTACGTGAAACACGTTATGGTTTTGGTCCCACGGATAAAGATCAAGCTCCTAAATCTTAAAGCAACAGTTCTACATTCTTGGCAAATGTGTTTCATGCAGAGAGTTAGATGGAAAATCCAAACTCCTCTCGTGTCTGTACGGTAGATACCAAGCTAGAGCTAGCGGATAGTTAGCTTAGCATAGCATAAATTCTCAAAAACGAGGGGAAACAGCGAGTCTCGCTCTGTCTAAAGGTAATAAAATACCAGCACCTTTAAAGTCCACTAATTAACGCGCTATATGTCCTTTGTTGCATCTGTTCTGCTGGTTGCATATAGCAACCTCACTGTGACGACAACACTGAAGGAAGTTAACGTGCTCAGCCAAGATATCGTCCAGCGCATAACTAGCCCTTTGGCTTTTTTGTAGATATTCCACTGTACTGTAGGTTTCTAATTTTTGATGCTAAGCTAAGCCAACCAGCTGCTAGCAGCAGCTTCAAAGTTACTGTACAGAAGCATATTTCCCAAAATGTCAAACCTTTCCTTTGAAGCCGACACCAAACCAAACCTGGATGTGTTTCGGGGTGTTCAGAGGTACATACTTTGCTTCACTCATTGTGGTCTGGAAAAGCTCAGTAGGCATCAGTTTGGATTAGGGGCACCACGAGTGGGCGTGGACCTAAATCACTTTGTGGGTGATTGTGTCAGACTCTAACCAAGTAATACAGATCAATGAAAACTAATCTCGCCCCCACATTCTCCTGCACCTGACTGAATAATTGCTCTACTCACTGAGCTTCAACTGGAAAAGCACGCTAGCCGTTTGATAAATCCCTCTGAGAATGTCCCCGGATGAACTCTAAGGGGAGACAACCAGGGCTCTTTTTCATCTTGTTTTTACTAGTCGTAGACAAGATTCCAGACATGCAGGGCCGCAACTTGGCGACCGGTTCAAAATGGTAAAAACAATGACGCTCGTTGTCATCATCTACAGCAATTTGCACGCGTCATTAATTTGTTTGCTTTCCAGCTGCCACACTCGATCCATTCTCAACGGATGTTTTTCCGGATGAATATCTCGCAGCGGTAACTGACCTCATGAGCGTTGCGCTGGATCAAAACTGGATCAGATGAATAACTTGTGCGCTCGCTATATTTAGGCTAGTCTGTGTGCTGCTACAGAGGGAAACAGTGATGTTCAAATGTCATGTTTATACATCATCATTGTCATCACAATACAGGCCAGAAACAGGAACTGCATTCAATAACAGAAGTCACATCCACTGTTCACTGATTCATATTTAGCCAACACCGGAGGTGCAGTATAAGTGAACGACTGGTGCTCTGAATGAAATTGGCTTTGCTGTCTTTTTTTAAATATCTGCTTCCTTTTTACTGAACCGTTTCAGTAATGCACAGGGAACCTGCCTGCATGGAGTCGCTCGCATACAGCACCAGAGTAACATGATGTTAGATCAGGACAAAGCCTGTCTGTAATTAGAGCAGGAAACGCAGTCACATTAATATAATAAATAGCGGCTTTGCGGTTCCAAACAGGCAGGATCATCCCATTTGCTTGGCAGCAAATTAAAGCAATGCTTCATTTGTAATAATTTGGCAGCAGCAGTGTGTGTGTGTGTGTGTGTGTGTGTCTGAGTCATCACATCAGAGAGCAAACATTTCTTCCCTCTTTTTTTTTTTTTTTTATCTGATGAAGCAGCCATTTAATCCCCCGTGGAGAAGGGAGAAAAACAACATCTCATGTCCTGCCTGGGAATTCAGGAGGGAAGCGAAGATGAAAGTTTTGAGCCAAAATGTGCTCCCACTCACTGGGGCATGAGGCTGAACCGCGACGCCGTCGGACCGAACCGCCACTTTCGGTCTGGCTCTCAGCGGTTCTGTGTGTGTGTGTGAGCGACGCTCTGTTCTTTGGTGAGAGGGTGTTGGCATGACTGTGTGGGTGTGAAACACACGAGGCCGCGGTTCACTCCTCGGAGCCGGTCAACGAGACCCACGTTGTAATTAGAGATCCTCCGTCCTCATTAGCCGACAGCCTTCCTGCTGCTGGCCGGTGAGGACCTGTTTGTTATGACTCATCCATCCACCTTCTGCTGCCTCGGGTAGAAGTGCAGCTTCTCGTGTATTACGTTCGAGTCACAGAGTTAAGTGATTCTGACAAATAAATACTTTGAAGAACCCAGAAGGATCGTTTAACATCAGAAGACATTCCATCCAGCGCACAATAACAAAGGTTTTTCCTCATGATGCATCTCCTTTCCTTGCTCGATTTGCACAACATGAGCCAATGTAAAAATGTATCTTTTGTAACAGTATATATTAACGTATATTGTTGAGACGGCCATATTTTGCTTGTGTTATACAAAAAGAGTAAGCACATACAGTATATCCTCTTCAGCTACTTTGGATAAGGAAATACCTTCGCAACTTGACAAACTGGTTGAACACATTTTTAATATGCAACAGACAGAATATGTTTTCATCCAGATGGAAAGAGGAGTCTTTAAACTGGCTACACAATGTCAAAGGGGAAGCTGTAGTGGTAAACCCACAGAGAATTATGGGTTGAATCTGCAGCGATATAATGAGTCTCCGTCCGGTCTGTAACTTAACCGTCATGGCGTTGCTTTCAGCCGCAGCAGGCAGCTGTTTCCAGCAAAACAAAGCTCTAAAAAGCCAACGTTACACTACGTGTGCACAGCACTTAACAGCAGACAGACACAGTTAGACACGAGCTGGTGAACAGGCTGGACCATTTAGGAGCTAAAGAGACAGATATGTTCCTCAGGAAATGGTAGAGACCAAAAACAGAGCAAAAAGAGAGAGAATATTGGACAGAAACACGACTCCGGATGAACGATAATGTTGCTCCGTAACAGCTGGATGCACAAATAAAGCAGCTTTTTGCTAACACGTCAACTTAAAATCCCAGTGGGACGGAAGTTAGAGCGTCTATCAGTACATGAAAGTCCGGCAGATGACGAGAATGAATTAGACCTTTGCCCGTTTATATCCAGACACACACTTCTCTTCCTCTTTCTCCGTGTCGCTCTGTTAGCTACCACGATCAGCCAACGGTGAACTGCGATTTTACATGACTGCTGTCGCTAGCTAGTCGCCCAAAGTCTCATGTGATTGGATGCCTTCTTGTTAACGCCCCTGAGTGCAGGATGAGTCATCGAGCTTTTGAAAGCGTAGCAGAAGCTAAATACATTCTAATTCCCTTTAAGGTAATGATATGATCAATGTTGCAGGTTAGATCTCCAGGTATTTATTGTTTCAGAAAATCAGATGCTTAGCTCTGTGACATGAGAGGCGCAAGCTGGGGCCTTTATTTAAATCCATGCCACTCACACACCAACCTGCAGCGCCAGAAAGAAAGAGCCTCTAATCATTGTGGCACAAGTGAGGCTGGGGAGGTGTGACTGACGGCAGCCCCGGGGAGTGTTTGGAAAGGCTTTCACCTGGTCTGTTGGCAGGTGACTCACACGAGATGCGCTGCCCGTCTGCTCGGCTTTGATCACGCGGCTGGACGGGGCGACGGAAAGCGGGGGCCCCGTTTGTGAAGGTGCTAAATAAAAACCTGGCCCTGGAGAGACAGTCACAGAGGAACCGACATCTCTAATGCGTGTTCGGTTCAATTGTTCAACCTCCACGAGACAGATAATCTGTCTTTATCATAACAGGAAAGACTGTTAATCACACCGACGTGCATGTGAGATTCGTCCCACACTTCTCACTCATAAAGACATTGTGTAGAAAAAGGGGGGGTTTTGCTCCGCAGCACCTGACTTTCTTGTTCCATCACAACAGAAACAACGCAAATCAAACATAGCATGACGCTGTTCCTCCCACATGTTACCAGAGACGATGACGCAACGACGCACCTGAATAATTCAGAGTAAGCCCGGTGAGAGGTGTCGCTGCCATGCAATGGGATCCGGTGCGTTTCTGTGAGAAAACAGCTGAAGCCGAGTAGGACAGGACGCTCTGCTGGGTTCTGCCACAGATAAGGCACTTCCTCTTTCCCCGATAGAAGAACGACCGGTCCTGTGATGGCTCACTTCCTCTAAATCATGCAGGACTGTCACATGTCAAACTGGGTACAAGACCCAGGAGTTTCCCCTTGACAGATGAATGAATCTCTGAGGACTGCAGCAGGTGTTTTTTCACAGGGGTGGAACAAGTACTCAGATCCTTTACTTAAGAAAAAGTCAAAAGGCTTTCTATTTATTCACTATCGCAACTTTTGTTAATCGAATAATCCTTTGAATTATGACAAACATTTGCTGATTTGATAGTTTTCTTTGTTGAATTTTAGGATAAACTAAATATCGTTGGGTATGGGAACGTTGGCCGGACAAAAAACGTGACATCTGGTGACGTCCAATTAGGCTTTGAGAAATGATTTTGCATTTTTCACTATTTTCTGACATATATATTTTTTTGATGTATTATTATTTTAGACAATAGGATTAACCAATTCATCAAAAAGATATTCAGCAGATGAATTGCTCATGAAAATAATCAAAAATAACCAATTCATAACAATTAGGGCAGCGGTTCAAGATCTTTTTTTTTATTATTATCGATTTATCTGCAGTGAAACAGTGAAAAGGTCATCAAGATATTTTATTGTTGTTCGAGCAAAAAGCAAGTCCAAAAGTCCAAATCCCAAAGAAATTCAGCTAAAGCAGCAAATCCTGATTTTCGAGAGGCTAGCAACAGAGAATGTTTGGCCTTTTTTCAATTTTCTTGTAGAAAGATTAAAATGATTAACCGACGATCAAAATACTTTGAATCTAATCCATTAATCAACTTGTAATTTCCGCTCTGATAACGATGCATCATATTTTGCAGGTAAAACATGAATCTATTTAAAGCAGTTAATCATTGAAGAAAAAATAACAATATTTCTCTCTGATGTACAGTGAAGTAAAATAAGATAAAACACTAACATGCGGTCATTCAAAAGCAAGAATTGCTCTGCGACTGATCACACTTTCATCAGAACACACTAAAGACATCACTCACTCGCATCACTCACTGGAAACTTTTCTGTGTCTCTCTCTCCTCCTCAGGCAGTATATCTGCATTATGGCACAGTTATGTAACGTATAGGGTCAGTGGACCACATCTGTGACAGCTGGACGATCACTGCTTCGGCTTAGACCATGACGTCACAGGCAAATTCTCAGAATTTATGTAATTCCGGCCGTGCCACGTCACCTTTGTAACCTTGACCTCGCCAGCCGCTTAAATCCACTAATTTTTAAGAATACAAAGCATGTGGCGGTTTGTGGAAAATGCACGGATCTAAAATATGCGGGTTATGTCATGCGGCGTTGTCCGGGGTCAGAAACTGCAGCAGTTGCAAGCAGAAGTTTAAATGCAGCAATCCTGACATAGATTTTCTCCATGTCCTTTCAAAATAAAAGGACTGCAGGGAGCATCCAGACAGAAGCTGCACATTTTGTACCAGAGTGTGATTGCAGTTCGTGTGATTGCAGTTGCCCCCCAACCCCCGTTTTAATCACGTAACTTTAATCCCTTTTGTATGGGTGATCACAGTCAGTGGAGATTTCCATTGAGAGAAAACGACGAGGAGGACGAGGAGGAGGAGGAGGTGGAGGAGGAGGAGGAGTGGGAGTGCTTCCTCTCACCTCCTCTGCAGTGAGCTCTCCTCGTCAGGCAGAATATGGCTGCAGCGGAATCCCGTGATGTCACGCAGTTACCATAGTAACGCGGGTGACGTGAGAAGGAAAAGAAAGGGGGGCGTCGCCTTTTTTTTTTAAAGTACCACGTGTTCCGTATATATAAACTAGCTGGCTCGCGCAGTGTGGGCAGCAGCGGCATTTGAGAGCGGCGCGCGGCAGGTTGAGCTCTGCTGGTATTCACGGTCGTGACAACAACTAACGGTTGAAGGATCGCGCGGGGACTATTATTGTTTGTTCTTCCTGGTTGTTGATTTTTTTTTTATTGGATATTTTTGTCAACCGGTAACCATGGAGGTGACTGAAGCTGGATGTGATCTAACTTACTGCAAGATGAGGGGGATCGTCACGGTTCTCACCGGTGAGCGACTGAAACAATCATCACGACTGCGTGTGTGTCGATTAGTGGAGCAAAGTAAACGATTTTAGTTTGCACGTGAGTGATCAGTAAGACAAACAGCTGTCCGGAGGTGATTAGAACCTGCTTGTAAATTGCGTTGTTGTTTTTATTGTTCTACTTTGACAGAATTTTCTAGAAATATCACAATAAAATAAGAAATCAGGCTTAAATTGTCACGTTTGCGGTGCAATGACAATCTAGGATGGAAAATACCTCTGTCGGTATCGGAATGAGTGACCCAAGTGCTTGCGTAACCTATAAACCCGCAGCATTAGAGGTCCATCCGTGCGCAACACGCACGCATGTACCGTACAACAGGACATTTGGAACAGCGGATTACAGCTCCAACTCTGAAATGTCCTTCTCTAACGGGAGACCAAAACATATGTGCATCAATGTGTGGTGAATGACACTGATGCTGACATTCTTTATTTCCACACTCTGTCTTTGCAGCTTTCATCAAGGAGAGAAAAATGGGGTTGAATGACTTCATCCAGAAGCTGGTGTCTACCCCACATATCTGCCAACAGTGAGTGTTTCTATTCAAAGTATAATCCAATATGTTAGATTTGGGATGGAACATTGGCGTTTCATTGAGTCACAAGCCTACAGGGGCATCTCTGGGTCAGCCCTGGCTCTGGTGTTTAATTCTAATCGTCAGCCCATTCGTGGTCAGTGTGCCCCGGCCAATCCAATCAGCTACCTGAGTTTGGCAGGACATCCTGTGAAAAGCATAATCTGGGTCCAAGGAGCCAGGTGCAAGAATAGTCCTTTCATGACGAACAACCTCTCTACTGCCTAATCACCTTTCCGGGCCAAATCCCTTCTATCCCCTAGACGGGGATAAACCGGTAATTCAGTTATTACATGATGCGTGGCTCGTCCCATCGCACATCCTGGACTCTCAATTTGGAGTCGTGGTGCTGTGGAGAAATAAACAACCTGTCCCCATTCAGATGCTCCAGAGGGGAAAAGGGGGCGTCTGATCCGGACCGCAGAGCCCGCTGAAACCCTCCCGTCATGGGTCAGCGGCTTAAGCTTATCTTCACAGACGGGTTAGGCTGACTCATGTTCGATGGCCGCGTCCTGAACTTAACCCATCTGGATGTTTCAGACCGCCGTGCACTGCCCGGCAGGGAGCATCCGCTCAGCTTTTCAGCCACACAAACTCACTTTAGATCATGTGATCTGGCTCATATTGTAAAAGTGCCATAGCTGACATCAAAATTAATCCTCTAACCAGATCTGTGTGTTTGCTTTTCCAGCGTTGAAGTTGCCAACTTCCTGAAGATCGATGAGATTCAAAACGAGGAGGGCGAAGATGACCAACTTCCTGACAGTCTGGTAAGTGGACACTGTTTACTGACTATTTGACTCGCTTTCTTTCCAAAATATGTCAATGTACTTATACATTTCCTCATTTCATATCTTCCAGATGTGCCTAAATTCACGAAGTTCACTGGCTGAGGACACTCAGTAAGTAGCCTTATTAAAATCTGTCCATTTTAAATGTAGTACATTTTGTAAAACATGTACACTAAACAACCAGAGTCCTAATCCTCCGTTTGTCTCTTCATCAGGATCAAGCCCTGTGATTTTGACTACCTCAAAATCATCGGCAAAGGCAGCTTTGGAAAGGTGAGTCCGGCGAACTTCTCTTTTCGTATAACCAACTTCTCTCGTCTTCTCGCACTGTAACCGCTGCGACGCCGTCACCGATGCAAATGTTTGCTCTGTTAACAGGTTCTGCTGGCTCGGCACAAGGAGTCCGCCAAATATTACGCAGTCAAAGTGCTGCAGAAGAAAATCATCATGAAGAAGAAAGAGGTGTGTTTTCACATCGTGTAGTGGACTGCGAGTTAAACCCCAATCCACATTCCTTCCGTATTGCTAATGTTAGACATCATTGTGATGACTACGCCGTTGTATTAACTTCTACATATTCCCTCCAGCAAAAGCATATCATGGCTGAGCGCAGCGTGCTGATGAAGAACATCAAGCATCCCTTCCTGGTGGGGCTGCACTTCTCCTTCCAGACCACCGACAAGCTGTACTTCGTACTGGACTACGTCAACGGTGGGGAGGTGAGTTAAGATCTCACAACACTGAGAAATAAGGTGGGAATATGGGTGTATTTATTTCCAAGTCGATGCTGACAGATGTGTCTGTTTCCTCTCCAGCTGTTCTACCATCTCCAGAGAGAGAGGATCTTCCTGGAGCCCAGAGCCAGGTTCTACGCTGCTGAAATCGCAAGTGCACTTGGCTACCTCCACTCCCTGCACATTGTGTACAGGTAATGAGCGATCCTACGGCGCCCCCTGGTGGGCGTTTGTAAATCTGTGCTGAAGGAAGTTTTATAAGAATCATTTATGCAGTCACTTTTTTTTTTTTTTTTTTTTTTAAAAGCCTTCTTCTTCTTCTTCTTCTCCTTAACAGGGACCTGAAGCCTGAAAACATCCTGTTGGACTCACAGGGACATATTGTCCTCACAGACTTTGGCCTCTGCAAAGAAGGCCTCACAGACAACGGCACGACGACAACCTTCTGCGGGACGCCAGAGGTACAAAACGAATCTCTAGACTTTCATACATCATTACAATCAATACAGAGACTCCACCAACAAATTAGAACTGTCAGACATGGGTTGACACCTTCTTGTTGCTGTCCTCTCAGTACCTGGCCCCTGAGGTTCTCCAGAAGCAGGCGTACGACCGCACGGTGGACTGGTGGTGTCTGGGATCGGTGCTCTACGAGATGCTCTACGGACTTGTACGTGAAATCTGTGACTTTGCGGCTCTTAGTGCAACTCCACGGCTTGTTTATGTAAACCTATAATGTGTTGTCGCCGCTTTTGCTTTACAGCCCCCGTTCTACAGTCGCAACACAGCCGAGATGTACAACAACATCCTGCACAAGTCTCCCGTGCTCAAGCCCAACGTGTCGAACGCAGGCCGGGAGCTGCTGGAGGGGCTCCTGCAGAAGGACCGCACCAAGAGGCTGGGGGTCAAGGATGACTTTGTGAGTGAGCACAGCTGAGCCCAGAGATCATTTGACACCGAGACCCGGCAAGAGGTCCGTGACGCTTGTTTGCATGTCAATATGCTGATCTAGAATTTTCGTTTCCCCTCCAGCTTGAACTCAAGTTCCACTCCTTCTTCTCGCCGATCAACTGGGAGGACCTGATGGCCAAGAAGATCACGCCTCCATTCATCCCCTCAGTGGTGAGTTCAAGCTCGAGGCCGCAACGGATGGCTTGTCCTCATTTTATTGAAATGTCAGGAAATAGGCGGAAATGCCAACAGTTTCCCAGAGCCCTGCCGTCTTCAGCTCATCAGTTAAACCAAATGTCCCAAAACAAGTCGCAGTCATATACGGGCGGCAAGTTATCTCGCTGTTAGGTCTATAAAATGTCAGCTAAGAATGACAAATGCCCCACTCAGCTTCCCAGTCTATAGTGATGTCTTGACCAACAGTCCAAAACGACAATATGTTTATATTCATAGGAAACCGTAAAATAATGCACATTTGAGAAGGTAGAAACATCCAGAAGTGTCTTGACATTTTATTCCTCTCTCGGTTTCACAGAGCGGCCCCACAGACCTGCGACACTTCGACCCGGAGTTCACCCACCTGCCCGTCTCCTCCTCTCTGTGCAACGACTCGCTGACCGTGTCGAGCAGCGTCAAGGAGGCGGCTGGAGCGTTCCCGGGCTTCTCCTACGGCCCTCCGGCGGGCCACTCCTTCATGTGAGCGCCGGCAGCTCTGCCTGGGAACTCACAAGAGACGGGACACAAGTTGGATTGAGAGTCGTATTTGTTTTTGACAGAGGGACCACACAGGAGAAGCCAGTTATATATATATATTTTTTTTTTTTTTTGGGGAGGGGGGGTGGTTTAAGTTGCAGAGCCTGATAAGAGGATCTAATGGACATGAATACCAATGGGGGGGCAGATCTTGAGGGATCTGAGCATGAGAAGTGTGCAGAGGGAGACTCTCATGTCACGCCATCACCGGTCCTACTCTTCTGCCTCAGCCGCCCACGACTATAATACATGTGTGCCAAGTGTGGATGCACTCTGGGTTCATCAAACATCAATCTCACAGCTACTGGTGAGGTGAAGAGAAGTGCCTGAGGTTCCAAAAAGGCAGTTTGGGCGGCGGCGGCAGCAGCAGCGGCGGCGTTTTGGCGAGAGCCGGCTTTATCAACAACCACAATAACTTATTGGGACTTTTGACCGGGGTGCTAGCTGTTAAGGTTGATGCCTTCATTACATGTCTGCGTATGTTACAAAAGACTTTATTATTTCGTGTCCAATGCTCAATTGCACTGAAGGAAACAAGGGTCAAGAAAAGTGAGACATTCCGCTTTTAAAGCATCAGCACCTTTGGATTAGACTGCTTCATATCTTTCCGCTCCTTGGTACATATCTCCGCTTTGGACGAGGGAAGAGTGGCATTTCAATATTTGACGCCAATAAGTGAGACTTGGACCAAACGGTAGGCTGTGGCACGCTTTAACGCAAACTCTTTTTCTGACCGGTTTGTCCTCAGATAGTGAAGATCAAAGTTTTACTGTACTGTGTTGAAGAAAAGTTGCATATATTTTATTGCAAAAGCAAACTGTTCTCCTTGTTTTAATAACTTACAAACATTCACTCTTTACTTCTCAGAAAGTTCTGCAAATATTGGTCTCTCTCTCTCTCTCTCTCTCTCTCTCTCTCTCTCTCTCTCTCTCTTAATGAGTGCGAAACAGAGTTCAACCAGCGATAGCATTTACTGTATATCAAACTCCTTCTAAATTCAAGTGATTGCTGTTTTAAGGCAAACACAACAGAATCTGTGATTACAAATGTTTTCTTTTTTTTGTATTTATGCATCATGTAGTGAGGAACTGTGAATGTCTTGTGCCTGTCCAAGGCGGCCTGATCCATATTTACTGTATGTACATATCTCTTTTCCCCAAACACCTATGTCCCTTATCTAGAGAATAATGTGTAGAAAGAACGTGATTCATTAACTTGACAAAAAGAACCACTAGGTGGCACAGGCGCTGGCTTTTCCCCATCAGTGTTAAGCCACTGGCCTACTGCATTATGTTTCTGGAAAGTGCAATAAAACTCCAAAAGAATAATGATCATTTAATTAATCTCTTTTAGCAGATGTGTTAGTTGTAATTTATGATCTGATATCCATTAAGGTATTAAGAGAGTATCTTCACTCAGAGATTGTTTTCATGACTTTGTTTTGCTGCAATGAGTCTCTACATTTTAGGCGTTTGTATAGAGTGGATTTTCAAGCCTGCTGAAAGTTTAAAAAAAAGAAATACAAAAATAAGGCAACACACAGTTCTAGATCATTTCTTCCATATTTGGAAGCATAACTTTTCTGTTTTGTATTTTTATGTATATTTATTTTCATGCCACTGCTACTGTGTAAAAGAAGATAATTTACATGATCAACTGAAATATTGAATTGTGTAATCTGTGTCAGAAATGGCAAATAAATTCTCTAAAATCAAGGAAATGTTTAATTCTGATGCTACTTTTATGCTACTATATATATTTACATATACACAACAAATAAATATACACATAAAATATGTGTATACTTATAAATATACACATAAAATATGTATATACTTATAAATATATACATTCAGCTAGCTTAAAATTAGCCAAACTCATTGATTAACAACTATTTTTCTACACACGTTCTACGGTTTGTTTGACATTAACGTGGATTTATAATGATTTAAGCTGCCTGACAACATTCAACAAGAGGATTCATCTGTTCAAATAACAGATGTTTGCAGTCTTTTCTGCAAACATCACCTGTGTTGACTCACCGCCACACCTGTCGTCCCCCGTCGCGCCAAAGAAAGAAAGGACTCCTGTGAATGAACATTCCGCACATGCGCAGTAGGCCCAGCAACGACAACTTCCTGCAAAATAGTGCTCCCTAACAACAGACAAAGCTTGACACTGTGGATTCAATTGAAGGCGCTTAGATAAAAGCGTTTCTCGTTCACCCCTTCAATGGTAAGACTGGGTTTCATCATTTTGGTGTCTCGGAAGTGTTTGTGTTGCGATGAGCTTCTCATTTGGGTGCAGCGGGAGTGAGATGCTTTCACTCGATGCCATTTTAACACCCGCTCCAATGGCTGCTGATGCCGACTAATCTCTGGAGCGGAAAACTTTCATGCCTGGGCCAAACTAAGTAACGCTCAAAGCCAGCTTAGTTATTTAACCACCATTGGCCCCAGACACGTGAGCTAATAAGCATGTAATATCGACAGCGCGTGACACTTAGCATTTCTCTTAGAACCGATAGTAAAGCGCGTGAGCAGAGCGGCTCTGTCTGCTAACGTTGGTAAGCTAACGCTGCTGTTGGGAAGCTTGCGCGGTGCCGTCTAAATGCTGGGGTGCTACGCTTAATTAGTGTCCGTTGCCACAGTAGCTCACGGTATCGGTTAGTATTAGTGGCTAACTTCTAGCTTCATGTGTTGACAGATTATGCTCCAACCTTTCAAATTAAAGATAAACGAGCCGCTGTGTTCCAGGAGTAGGTGAGATGTCAGACTTCACCTTCACTCAGACCGTCCCCGGTTATTTGCTGGACTCAGCTAACGTAACGGTTGTCGGCTAACATTAGCAGATGTCATGAATAGGAACTTTACCTTGAGTGGATGCTTTGCTGTGCCTGTTTGTTTTACTCTAGTTTCCAGTGTGCGGGACAAACAATACCGAAAACATGGGTGTTGGATTAAACAGTGGTGTCAACAATATTTGTCTACATCTGAGATGTATGTTTGTAATGTGCAAACAATGAGGAACGATGTTAATATGTCTAAATTTCATCTTTCATTTCATCTTTAACAAATTGTTCTTCCCAGAACAGCTTTCAGTAAAATATCAAGAAATTAAATAAAGTCGTGAACATTAGATGTTTCATATTTTTTTCTGTCAAATACATGAGTATCTATTCCGAGTCAGGGGTGTCCCCTCCACGTGACCCGAGCGGCCCTGTTACAGGTGGCAGAAAGCTGTGATCATAACAAACGGACAAAGCAGCAGCAGTGTTTATAAACCGGTCGTCTCTGGTTTGAGAAATGAATGAGCAATGAATATTATTTAAAAAAACAGCACAATATGTTTTTGGGGTCAGTGCAGCTGAGGAAATGTAGACTATCTTTATTTATTTTTTACTTTTCGGAACCTTGAAATATCTCAATCGAGTTGATCTGCTATCGGTACATCATCACGTGGCCTTATTTCCCTTTAAACGTCAGTCCTTTTATTTTTTAGTTCACTTACACAAGCTTGACATTTTGTCAGTTAGGTAAAAGGCCGATTGGGCGAGCGGCGGACAAAACGAGGATAGATGTTATCCCGACTCGGGCCGATCTCACCGATACGACAGCTTGCACCTGAGCAGTTAATGCGTCTAGAGAACATGTTTTCGTTGAGCGAAGGTTAGGTCACATGTAAAGTGGCACGCTTCCTTAATCCCCGCAGTGAACACGCTCGTGCTGGGGGGGCTTAGACCAGGGAGCCCCGGTCCCCCACCCCCCCGTGCCGCTGATCAGACACGCGATAAGCGGTGGCTGCATTGTTGTGCATTCATGAAACACGAGGAGGGGGGAGTGTCACGCGCCCGCAGCACTACATAAGGCTTGTCCCTCCATTTATTCAGTGTGTTCCTGTTGTTACTGTTGCTGCTCGGGTGAAACAGGGTCCGGACCACCTCTCCCGGTGCAGAGAGTAGGCTGAGCGCGCAGACATGTCGGGTCGCTCCGCCGCAGAGATGGTCGACTCGCAGGAGCTGCCCGAGCTGCCGGTGAGTCCGCACACGATGACGCCAGACGTCACCGACGTTTGTTGTTTTCTTTTACTTCTGTACGTCCAACGAGAAGAACTTAAGATGCAAAAACTAGTTTCACTGTGATTCTGTAATCACAGCTGCAGCATCCTTTTTTTCACAGTGTATCATATTTTGTTATTGTGGTTCAGTGTTTAACCACAATATTTTGTTAATGTACTGATGTCAAGTATTTTTTGATTCTATAGAGGAACTATACTTTATGTGTCGCAAAATAAAACACGAACCACCCCACGAAAGAATGCATACAACTCTAGGACTGTAATATTGTAATACTGTGTTTTTTTATTGAGCTTCGGTGGCTTGGTTTTATGTTTATTTACATTTATCTGACTTGATGGTTAATCATATAGAGGGAATAAAAAGATGCACATCACAGGAAGTAGAATTCCAAGTGCAAACCTTTCTCTGTGAACTCGTGTGTTTGCAGACAAAGAAGCCGAGGCTTGAGATCGACGGTGGACTGGAGAAAGAGCCCAGGTTGGTCTTCGCTGACATCTGTGTCGCATCTTTTATGTTTTTGGAAGTGCTGCCTCATCATACTGATGGAAAAAAGTTTTGAATTAACTTTAAAGAAAGGATTTTACACAGTAGATTGTTGCCAGCAGAAAATCTATAATTTTAACAGATTCTTTTTGCTCGTTCAGTAATTTAGGTGACGATAGGAGTCCAGCTGCAGTGTTGGGCTCATCGGAGCAGGAGAGCTCCTACTCTGCCCTGTCCACAGCCCACCTTGATCCAGGTAAGTAGAACATGTGACAGCACTGTTCCTAAAGCAAGGCTTTAGGACATTTGGTAATTTAATGACAAAGTCGTAATATTTCAAGAAAAATCTACCTGCCCTCTAGTCTGCTGTGCATTACTTTATTGCTCTGCTGATACGGTAGTATTCCCCACACAAGCCCGTTTGGGACTCTGGTCTCTGGATGAGACACAGTTTTAGGGAGGCATCTTTTCACCAACAAAATTAAACTAACTGAAAACACGTCTGATCAGGCATAAATCTCACCATTGTGTGGTTTATTTTCTACAAACATGTCAACTTCACCACCTCTGATAAAGTGCAGCTCAAAGTTGCTTCCCCTAGGCCAGGGGTCCCCAACTGGCGGACCGCGGTCCGGATCCGGACCCAGACGCAGTTGCATCTGGACCCAGGATCTCAAACCGATAGAAAATTTTGAAATTTACATATTACAGATCCGGTTTATACTTTAACCGGCATAACTTATTCAGCCTTTACGGCACTTGTTCAGCGGTGCAGGAAACACGCCGACCAATGCGTTGTAAATCACATCACGTGATGCAGCTCAGCCAATCAAATATGGGTATTCTGACATGTTTCCTGATTCGAGTGAGATGAGATATATACACACCGTGACACACGGGGCTGAGACGAGGAAATAGATAGAAGAGCAGGAATATTGAGCTGATCAGAGAAGTTATCTCACAAGACGTTCTCCAAAAAGAGAAACGTGTTCAGAGAGAACAGAATTTATTAGCAAGAATGAACAGACTCTTATATGTTAATTCTTCCCACAGAAAGTTAGAGCCAGCTTGTCTCATATGTCCAGAAACTGTAACTATTGATAAAAGCGGTAAATGAAGCGCACTACGAGGCAAAGCACAACTCTTTTGAACAAACGTACCATCTCGCATCTGAAATGAAGACACAGAAAATAAACAATCTAAGAGCCCACAATGATCAGAATCCTAACACATGAATTCACTGACCAACAATGATGTTAACAGTGAGAATAGAGCTGAAACAAGTGGTTTAATAACCACAGATAAAGATCATGCTCACTCATTTCTCTTTTTAGATGACAAAAATGTAATATTGTGTCTTTTTTGATTGACATCACTTCACACCCGAATGAACTGAATTTAAAGCTGCAGGACAATTCAGCGATTAAGATGCACATTTTTGAAAAGCTTTCTGTTATGTCAGTTATTTTTTAATCCAGCCCTTATTGTACTTGAAATGAGAAGAACATTTATTTATGTATTTCTATGTATTATTTATAATCCATCCAGTTAAATTTGAAAACTGAGAATAATAATTGTTAAAATATAATTGATGTGTACTTTCAGCATCTTTTACACTCAGCATCGAGAACCCCCCCCTTATACCTGGAAGATATTGACTATGTCTGATTGCAGGTGATCAGGAGCAGTCTGACGCGGACAGAGGGCCGGCAACTCAAGCATGCGGCAACCCCATGAACTCGTATGCACATTCGGGTATGAACAGAAGCACATTAGAGGTCTTTTTAAAAAGAAGAAAGCTGAATGCGACGTGTCTATTGAACTGAGGCCGTGTTGTCTTCTTTTTTTTTTTTTCTTTTTTTTTTTTTTAACAGGCGCAGACTCGACAGGGTCATCCGAATACGGCCAACAGGTCTATCAGGGAAGCAAGTGAGTACGCTGCATGTGAACATCTTATCATGTATCCCGCTGTAATGTTACGCAGATTTAAGGAGGTGACGTTTAGACTACAACTCATTGGAAGAAACACGGCAAGTATAATGCGTCATTGAAACAAAGTGCATCAGCAGCCAGGTGCATGCAGAGACTAGTATGACTCCTCCCTTGGGGGATCAGCCTTTTTTCACCACATTGTCCCAGAGAGCCCCTTTGTATACATTTCAACTTTGCCGTTCTTCTACCAGATTTAGTCTGGCTTTCCTATACTCTATATTATTCCAGTGTTCCTCAGTTACCTCCGGTTTTGTGTTGCTTCTGTGCCAACCAAATTTTGTGCGCCAGTACATGTAAAAACACAGTTTTGAGCCCTAACAGATTGTTCTTTAACACCGATTGTCTTTCTTTCAGCCCGGCAGTGACGTCATACACCAGCCAGGTGGCCTATCCTCCGCTGGCCCAGTCCACCGTGTACTCAGCCTTCCCCCAGACCGGCCAGACCTACGGCCTCCCGCCCTTTGGTTGGTCCCCGCTCCTACCCTAACAGCCTATTTTAACACTGTCTGCTCACTAAAAAAATAAAAGCTAGGATCACACCTTTTTTGTGTCACTCTGCTTCAGAGCCCTTACTGTGCTTTGGCGCTGTCGGAATCAGATTTTGCTTCCTTTTTTTTTTTTTGTAAATCTCTGCTTAAACGGCCACACCTCAACCTGAAGGACCCGGTTTCTTAACTTTTGCCCCGTCATCCACCTGTCCCCCCCCCCCTGCTGCCTCTTTCATTCTCTGCTTCCATTGCTCTCCTGTCATCTTCAGGTGCTATGTGGCCAGGCATTAAAACAGAGACAGGGCTGCCTGAGGCGCCCTCTGGTGGCCAGCCTGGGTTTCTCAGCTTCAGCACCGCATATACCTCAACCCAGCCAGCCCAGCTGCACTACTCATACCAAGGCAAGCTGCAACCTCACTCTGACTCACACGACAGCGCTGTCACACCCTCTGCAAACACCAGGAGCACTGAAACACAAAGATCTTGCGGTGGCACAGCTCTGTCTTCCTCTCTTGATGCTCATCACCTCAAATGCTGTTTTCAAATACTTTATTTTATTTTATTTATTCCTCTGGCACTGTTTTAGCTGACCTCTTTCTGTCTCCAGGCTCAAGCTTCACAACATCCAGTGTGTACTCCAGCATCCCGTCGGCTACGGCTGCCACCACAACCTCCACCACAGCGGCACACCAGGTAAGGAGGACGTCAAGTGTTCCTCAAAGTGTCGCCGTGATTGTTCTCATGCGTTCTCCTGTCCATCAGTGCGGCATATAAGAAGATAACCATTTCTATCTCATGTGACTCACCTTTGATCACAATCATTTTTTTAATCTCCTCCAGGAATTCAGCGGCTACAACTCTCTGGGCCAGAACCAGTTCTCTCAGTACTACGCTCTGCCTCCCAGCTACATGCCTGCCGGGCTGCCCAACAGCGACGACCCCGGCGCCAGAGTGGCCGGGTATTCAGCCGTGAAGTCGGAGGAGGCCGCCTCAGCCGGGCTGCCTCCCAGAGGTGACCTCAGCAGTTTGATTGACATTTAGTTCTATTTAAACATCAGAGGTAGATTACATTGTGGTGGCTGTTTGTAACAGTTTGTTATCCCGTTCAGCATCCTTGTGCTAGTCTGAGACAAAACAGAAGAATTGTGTCCTTCTAGTGCTGATTTCCGACTTGCTTGTATTAAGATGCGTCCCCACCAGAGAACCTCCCGGCAGGTGCGGCCCTTCCGACCAGCGTGGGCGTCCCCGCCGGAGCCACAGATCAGGACGAGGTCGGACGCAGGAACTCTGTCGGCAAAGCCAAAGGGAAGGGCAAGAGGTCCGATAGCTCCCCGCCTGCCGACAGCGACCTGGAGGTGAGCAAGTCAGCAGTTTAGCTCCTCTTTGTACACTTAAACATGTTTGTCATTTAGCTTAGCAGGACTTCAGTGTTTAAGACAAAGCAAAACCCTACAAATCACCACGTTAAAAAGATCAAATATTATTTTGTGGTAAATGTTGTTTCCTGTCGGTTGTAAAAAAATGATGATTTTTAAAAGACAAAGTGTGATATTGTTTTTCCCTCCTCGTAGCGTATCTTTCTCTGGGATCTGGATGAGACCATTATCATATTCCACTCACTGCTCACCGGCTCCTACGCACAGAAGTTTGGCAAGGTTTGTTTCTGTAAATAGCCAAAAAGTTCCAGCACGCGGCATGAAATAGAAAGCAGTCTGAGTCTTATTGTGGGTCTGCGTTGTGTCCGTTCAGGACCCGGCGACGGTGCTGAACTTGGGCTTGCAGATGGAGGAGCTGATCTTTGAGCTGGCAGACACTCACCTCTTCTTCAACGACCTGGAGGTACAGTGAGAGGCATTCAGCTACCTTTGTCTGTCTGTTGGTCAAAATGACAATGAGACACCTCCCCCTTTTTTGACAGTCGACTGCTCGTAGTATACTCTCTGAGTTCTGGAGGGAAAAAAACTAGCTAGAGGTTCTCCTTCTGGTCATGTGGATGCTTTTAAACTCACAACCAATCAAATATCTTATCAAATAGCTTAATGCTGTGTTCTCTCCAAACGCTGGTCTCTCTGGGTTCATAACGTCGTCTGGAGGGACCCGGTGAATTTCACCGAGCTGTATTCACTGTTAGCCACACATCGGCTGGTTTACTACAGCGGTATGAACCCCAAATAAACAGATTCTGCTCTGATTTATATGCATTAAACGGATGAAAAGGATGCCGAAATGACTGCATAACGATGCCGATTCATAGAAAGTCTGAAGTCATGCTTTTGTCAGGTCCGTCCGAAGCGACTAGCAAACAACTTTTAAAATGCTTGTTTTCAGAATGGAGTTTGGATAGATCGGTGCTAGGTTTTGCTAACATTGCAGCTGCTCCATCAACGCTCAAAATAACAGTTTATTTTGGTCTATACGCATACATTTAAACAACGCAATTTAAGAGGCTGCTGCAAAGATGCATAATCTGAAGCTTATGTCTTTTCCCAACGGTACATGGATGTTGTTGTCTTTGTACAAGTGAATACAAGTTTTCTTTTTTTAACCAATACATTATTATATAATCCTTTAGAAAGAATAACTTGTTTTGTTTCAGGAATGTGATCAAGTCCATGTTGAGGACGTTGCCTCTGACGACAATGGGCAGGACCTGAGGTGTGTTATAAACTGCAATGACCTCATCACACACACGTACTAGCCTTAAAGCACACTTTAACATCATCACTCTGAAGCAGGCTTTATTCCCCTCACCCAATCAATTCACAGGTGTGTTTCTCTCCACTTTAGTACCTACAACTTCTTGGCGGATGGCTTTAATGGTTCCAGTGGCGGAGGGGCATCAGGAACCACCACGGGGGTCCAGGGAGGCGTGGAGTGGATGAGGAAACTGGCCTTCCGCTACCGCCGGCTAAAAGAGATCTACAGTAACTTTAAAGGGAACGTTGGAGGTGAGTTTGTTTTGCCTACGTGAAGTTGGAAATGACCGACACACAAGAAAACAACCGTGGCTCATGAACACTTTCTTCAGTTCCAGTAAAACAGTGTTCAGACGTTCTTCTTTCGTCTCGCCTATCATGCTTTTAATGACCCGTTTTCGGGTGCGTTTGTTTTCCTGAGAAAAAACAACCTTGGAGCACTTTACAGCCGAGTGAATTACGACAGCGTGTTACAACATCAAAATGAGCTCCACAGTCCAATATCCAAGAGGAACCAAAACACTCAACAGATCTGAGTTCCCCCCCCAATTTATTCTGGCAGTGTCAAAGAAACGTGTGTGTGTGTGTGTGTGTGTGTGTGTGTGTGTGTGTGTGTGTGTGATATCAGACTGAACTAATGAAGAATCAACCCACGAAACATTTAGAGAAGTGCGTCCCTTTATGATGTTAGATCTGCACATTGTTCATCGTGACGGTGGGGTCTCCACCTCGTGGTCTTCTTACTGCGTGTCGTGTCTTTCAGGCCTGTTGAGTCCCATGAAGAGGGAGCTGCTTCTACGGCTTCAGTCTGAGATCGAGAACGTTACGGACGCGTGGCTCTGCACGGCGCTCAAGTCTCTGCTGCTCATCCAGTCCAGGTCTGAGCGGAGCTTATTACTTTGGAGAATATCTTTCAGGTCGCACTCTGCGGCAACATGCGCAGTCATGTGAATTATTCGATTCAAGTGACGGCTTTATTACACGTTACGTCACATTTAGTAACCGCTTAGGCTCAGTGACCCTAGTGAATGAGCTTTAAAAGGCGATGTTTATTGAGAGGATGATGCAACCCTCGCTGCTGCTTTAAAGGACAGAAGCTGGGCTGTGATTTTCTTGTGCTGAATTTGCTTTGAAAAATCTAAAACTGTCCCGACATCAATGCAAGTGTAAACAGGTCTGTCCCCTGATTCAGCTTTTTGTTTTCATCTCATAGCCCACATATGTTAATGTGTGTTCTACGTGTGTGTGATGTTCCGCCAACAGGGGGAAGTGTATGAATGTGTTGGTCACCACCACCCAGCTGGTTCCAGCTCTGGCGAAGGTGCTGCTCTACGGCCTGGGGGACGTCTTCCCCATCGAGAACATCTACAGCGCCACCAAGATAGGTACGCATCGGAAAAAACGATTTTTGGTTCTCCTCTACTGCTGCAGAGGAATCGTGTTAAAATGCTGCTTTTTGTGATCGCTTGTTTTCCTGTCGCGCAGGGAAAGAGAGCTGCTTTGAGAGGATCGTCTCTCGCTTTGGGAAGAAGGTGACTTATGTGGTGATCGGCGACGGTCGAGACGAGGAGTTTGCAGCGAAACAGGTGAACGTTTTCACGTCTGATAAAAAACGCCTGCCTGCTTTTGTGCGTTAGGGCCACGTAGCGCTTCACTTATATTTAAGTGCTTTCTTTAATGTTTCTATATCTTGACAACCACTCTAGCCTCCGTCGTATGGTAGCTGCTGCTTTTATCTATTTGTTCTGCAGAGCCGATCTGCTCCCACAAACAGGCTTTGTTGTGATAGTGTCTGTCCGACATAGAAAGCTCAGGACAGACGGACAAAACAAGCGTCCCCTTTATTTTCCACAGTGACGTCTCCAGCGCTTTTTATTTTTTAATTCAGCATTTTTCAACTCGTTGCGCTCTCCTCATTGGGAATAATTGACAAAAGACCCTGAGGCTCAGGAAAGAAAAAAAAAAAACCTGCTACGTGGACACAGATCCTTGGTCGGTAGGCAGTTTGCATTTCCTCAGAACAGCACAAACACAACGCTGTGGCTCTCACTTTGTTTGTTTGAAAGGCATCCACATCTCACGAAGGTGCTTACAAATCCAGCTGTGAGCGTAACCGAATTTAATAAATCATAATCGATCCAAGTTTGTCTTTGGCTGCTAAACTACTATGGTGCCTGTGTGTTAGCTGCCTGGTTCCAGACTGTAATGAATTGCCACACATTTGTTCATTGAAATGATTGAAATGGAAAGATTCCAGTCTGAGAGTCTGAAACACTCTCTTGACGGTCTGTTCGTCTCTCTGTCCGCAGCACAATATGCCTTTCTGGCGGATCTCCACTCATGGCGACCTCGTGTCCCTGCACCAAGCGCTGGAGCTGGACTTCTTGTAAAGGAGGCGGCGTCCAACACCGCACACCAAAGGGAGAACCAACCCTGGAGGTCGTCCCGTCGGCCTGTGGAGTGACATTGTGCGAGAAAAACCCTCCGCCTCCTACACCCCCTCCCCCAGAGACGATGCTCGTATATTATAAAAATCTGCCCTCACATGACAACTTATGACTCTCTGCGTATTTGTGTGTGACGGCAACGCACTGAGGCGGACTTTGGGTCGGAGCTGACCGCCAGAGACGGACTGGATGGGCGAGTGAAGGCTCCTCACGCCCCGGCGCTCCCTCCTCTACGGCAGCTAAGCTCAGCACGGATGAAACTGGCACTGATTTGGACACGGAAGGGAAGACATCCATTTTTTTCTGTTTCTCCTCTTTTGGTTACATTGTTGTTGTTTTTTAAGTAGCAAAATCTCCCGCGGTGAAAACAATCCCTCTTCATTTTTATTTCTCTCTCTGGATTTTAAACAACCAAAGGCTCATTGTTGTTGTGTTGGCGTTCGCTTTCGTTGTAGCTTTTTATTAAGTTTCAAAAATAATCTCTCTGGGTTGTTCAAAGACTTACTGAAGGTCATCAAGTATCAAATAATCCCACTATTACTCTCCCACGTAGCCTTTGACATCTCAACACGAGGAACTACGGGGTTAAAAACCAGTCAGCTGATCTGTGGTCGGTGAGCACTGCTGAGAATCTTCTGACCAACCTGAAGCGGCCTCTCTTGTGACACTCGGCAACGTGAAACCAGAGCCGGAGGCATGACTCAGCAGTTTTCCAGGAGTCGTAGTATTAGTAAGGCAGAGCACGGGTCCAATGAAGACCACAGCTGTGTCCCAAATCCATTCTACATATTCCTTCTAATGCAGTATGTGCTGCACACTAATCGTCTTTTAGCAGTAAGTGCAAAAAACAAAAAGGTACATACGTAACCTTTTTACGCTGAGCAGGGAAGGACATAATAAATGCAACAATGTGTGAATGTTGAACTTCACAAAAAACTCATTCTTAGATGACTTACTCTCTGGAGCTGTTTGGCCACCCAACATTTCAACTTTTTCTCTCTCTTTGGTTTCCTCTGTGCAGTGCGGGGGGATCGAGGGATCTATTTTGAGTTCGTAGTGAATGGAAATGCAGATTATTAGCATTTCCTTCAAATTTGCACGACATTCAGATGAAACCCGGACTATACTTTGATGCCCGTTGTCTCGTACTCCGTCCACGCATTGTTCGGAGGATCACGGTCACTTAAGAGCTTTTCATAGTGAAGACGGTTGTATTTTGTATATTTTAATACTCATGCACGTCATGTTATTGCTACAAAATCCGAATAGCTTTGTTAAAGCGACTGAATGTCAAAATGGTCGTTTACCAAAAAGAAATAAATGCATAGTTTTGTTTCCAAAGACATTACTGAACATGTTTTTCCTGTCGAATTAGATTTAGCTGACATTCATTAAATCAGTTAAAACTGGAGCTGCAACAAACTATTGATTAATACGCGGACTATTTTCTTGATTATTAGATTAATCAACAAACACAAAAATGATCTTCAACCGTTTAAAAATGATTTTATCCTTTTTTACAAGTCAAAGGATCATCGTTGCATCGCTGGTTTGATATTCATCTCAGAACAATGCAGAGGTCAATTTAGGTGATTTGCTGCCTTTAAGTAAACTGAATATCTTTTGGGTTTTTCAAGTGTTAGTTGGTTACAACCTGGGAATGTTTCTCTTTTTATGTACGTTTTTTTGACATAATCTAAAATTCTCATCAAATTTCCCCCAGAACCCAAATTCACATCTTCAAATGACTTCTGACCAGCAGTCCAAACGCCAAAATGCATTCACTTTAACGAGGGAAAAGAAATGACTCTTAATTGGTCAATGTCAAAATGGTTTGCCAAATAATCATCAATTAAGTCATTGATTCAGCGCTTCTAAAAACATGGGTGTTATTATTTGTGTCGGACAGCTGCGACCACATGATTACTTCCACAGCTTTGAATTTTCAGCCACACGACAAAAAGCGATGACTGTGCAATACGTTGCTACTTTGCCCCATTAACTGTGTTTTGAAGGGATTTTATTTTTTCTCGAGTAGACGGAGGGGTCGACCGATCAGATTACGACTGAACAATACTGAGCCTGAAGATTTCGTATTCACACACATGCAGCTTGACCGTGAAGAATGTGTATCTATCTAATGCGTGCGTTTGTTTGTCTTGCGTGACTGTGCATATTTATAGCGTGCCTTTAGCCATCATCTGTATGCATAATCTCAAAGGGAAATGTGTAAGGCTTTTTTCTGTGTTTGTTTGGTACATTTATTGCTGCGTTTTATTATCCAAATGCTATCTTACTCTTTTCTTTGTTCCTAGACATTGTTTGATGTGATTGTCCTGTCTGCACTGTATTTGAAAGGCCTCCATCTAGAAAACGATGCCTCCTCTGTGGGGTGCTGTGTTTGATGGAAACAATGGAAAAGATGGCTTCCCGTCACTTTGCCGTCAGACGCGTACTCAAAATGTTTTATTTGTTTTTTTTCCAAGAATAGATGTCTGAACATGGAGTGACAATACTTCGGCGGTTTTCACATAATTGTACTCTGTCTGCTTTGTATTAGACTTCTGCTTCCTTTTGAAAAGGAGATTTATTTTGTCGCTGTGAAAAGCCCGGCGTCGCTGAGAGACAATCACCGTCTATGAACACAGATTACCAAAGTGAACACGTTTTAAATTGTTCAGTCTTGCTAATAACTCAGTGAGTAAAAGGTGAACGGGCTCATCTGTCAGTCCCGACACACACACACACACTTGAGAAAACTTAGGAGACCATATGCAATCTTTGCATTTTTTAATTTTCTGCTTATTGAATGTGTTGTGTATTTCTTTATTGTCTGCATGTAATGTCGGTTTTGAAGTATACCACGGCTGTTAAATATGTTACGGGACTATATTTTTTTGTGTCCTTATTTTCTTTCCAATGCCAAATACCGTTTTGTTTTTTTAAATTGTACGTAAACAACGTATTTCATCTCTTCAAATGAGCTGTGAGGATACATTGGCTTATGTAGAGAGCCTGAATGTGATCCTGTGAACTGAACACCTATACTAATAACCAATGCTAATTTAATAATCACTATTTCCCCTCAGTAGGCGTTTAGGACCTGGACACAGTCCTGGAAGGTTTTCCTGTGTACCTTTTAGACAATACAGTGTAAATAAACTTTAAAAAGTTTCAGACTCAAGTATTTATTACTGTGAAAAAATGCAATTACATAAACATATCTAGCATAAATATATTTGCAACATTTTCATTAGAACCTTGTGGTTTGAAAGAAATGTTGCTAAACTGGAAGAACCACAAAGGCCTTCCCTGGTAATCCTTTTAAATGCAGTCATGCCAAGATGAATTCTGAAGATGAAAATCAAGTCTTCCGAGATTGATCATTTTATTGCAAAACTCTACGTTTCCCTGTTCCGTGTTTCTTTGCTGAGCCACAAAAAAGACTGAATGACAGGCAATATACATCTAGTGTTTACATTGAGAGGTAAATACTGAATGTACACTAAAGTTTTGAGTGACATTTTCACAAAGTCTGCTGCCTCAGTTTCTATGATGGCAATTTGCATATACTCCAGAATGTTACGGATATTGCTGCTGGTAAGATTCCACCTAAATCAGCCATTTATCGGATCATCAAGAACTTCAAACACAGGACTTCAATTGTTGTGAAGAAGACTTCAGGGCGCCCAACAAGTCCAGCAAAGGGCCAGGACCGTCTCCTAAAGCTGATTCAGCTGCGGGATCGGGGCACCACCAGTGCAAAGCTTGCTCAGGAATGGCAGCAGGCAGGTGTGAGTGCATCTGCACGCTCATTGAGGCGAAGACTTTTGGAGGATGGCCTGGTGTCAAGAAGGGCAGCAAAGAAGCCACTTCTCTCCAGGAACATCATCGGGGACAGACTGATGTTCTGCAAACGGTACAGGGATCGGACTGCTGAGGACCGGGGGAAACTCATTTTCTCTGATGATCTCCTTTCCGATTGTTTGGGGTGTCCGGAGAAGAAAAGGTGAGCGCTACCATCAGTCCTGTGTCGCCCACAGTAAAGCATCCTGAGAGCATTCATGTGTGGGGTTGCTTCTCAGCCAAGGGAGTGGGCTCACTCACAAGTATGCCTCAGAACACAGCCATGAATAAGGAATGCTACCAAAACATCCTTGGAGAGCAACATCCTTGTAGAAAACATGTCGACCATAAATAGTCTCAGAAATGAGGTTGGATTTCAGTAACATTTTGAGGACTCAATATGATTAACCATTTCAAGTTTTTGAAATGAGTTGTACCATTTCATTGGAATAGGAATGTTAAGAAAAATATTCAAATATTCAAAAATTTGGAATGCATTTGTCACAGAAAGAACTGGGTTTTGTCCCAGATTACTAACATTCGAATAGTAATAAATAATCTCGTCACACAGGCATTATGAGCAGGAGGAAGAGTGACACCAGCAACAAACTATTTACATGTACATCTTCACAGACTTTAAAACTGTGAACCTATCCTTTAAAATGGAAAATAAAATAAAGATTGGCAGCACCGGCTAATAAAGTGAAGACGCTGCTTACAGCAGAATACGGCAGTCTTGACTCGCCTCTCGTGAGGTTGGATCTGTTACTCAGGGAGCAGGTCACAGTCCTATCCCACGAAACCCCATGATCTTCATTTATCAGGCTGCTCAAGTCTGCGTGACTCAGTCCAACCTCCGAGTCTGCTGGACATCAAGTGATGCAGCTCAGGAGTAGAAGTTCTCGGCCAACTTCCTCATTCTTTTATTGCAACGTTTGATGTCGGGTGCCGGAGCTCCTGGCCCGCTGCGATCAGTGACGTCTGTGTCTAGGTCCTCCTCCAGGGATATGCACTGAAGGTGTATTTCTTCCGGGACCTCGTTCGCGGCTGAGGAAATAGAAAAATCTGGCTCATCACCAGAAAATGTTTTCAACTTAGTCTCAACTGTGGCGTCCCCTTTCAGCTCCTCCTTGGCCAGGTTTGGATGGTAGCACGTATAATATAGCATTTTAAGCAATAGGCCGAGGATGTAAACTGCAACAACACTGACAGCGGTGATTACAGCATACAAGGGTGGAATTTCTAAATCAGGCAGATCGGGGCTCATCTTCCAGCACCACAGAGAGCAGAGGAGGGAAATATCCACCAGCATGTAGCCGTGGTACAGCAGGGTCCTGTACCTCGTCCTGCCGTCGGCCACGTTGAACCAGTCGAAATACCAAATGAGGCCCATGGTGGCTCGGTAAAGCCACTCTCCGCAAGGGCTGTCCATGAAGTCTGTCTCGGACCACCACACGAAGAAGAACAAAACAATCCAAGAGCAAAAGAAGTGGGCGACGACGAAGCAGGGCAGCACGGAGGCGAAGAGGGCGAGGGCGGTGATGCGAGATGAGATGAGCAGCAGATTCCAGAGGAAGTAGGCCGCCGACGACATCATCCGCTGCTTCTCCTTGTTGGGCAGGAAGGAGCGCAGGGAGCGGTGGTACATGGTCACGCTGAAGGCGATGGCCGAGGCCGACCCGCAGGCCTTCAACACTGAGGGAGGAGGAGTCATTAGAGAACTGTTAATCGCCCCGTGAAAGTACTCAGTGATGGAGTTTTTATGCAAGTTTTGAGTGCATTAAACCTCAGACTATATACTTCCACTCAATGGCTTTGAGAAGATCACAGAGTAACCTAGAGTTGTGTTGTAGAAGCACAATAAAGAGGACATTGCTCTGAAATTTGGGAAATCTTCGAGATGTCTTTTTGTTATTTAAAAAGGGTCAGTCCACCAAAATTACAAAATGCACATTAGCTCTCCGCTAGTATCTGGCCATACAGAGTGTTGGGTTTCATTCGTCCAGGTTTTGAGAGATCCATCGTTATATTTCTGGCGGCATCGCAATAGAATAAGGTGATTATCCACAGAACACAGTGTCGGCAGTTTTGATTGCAACTCCTTTTTTTTTTAAATAGTGCCCAAGAAGACTCAACAGTGTGATCTGTGGATTATTCAGAGAGTTTAAAAGGAATGTATTATCCAAGTATGATCAGTAAAAAAAAAGTAAAAGTACTAAAGTATGTAAAGAACTAAAGTTTAACGTTGGAGTTCATTTGACCTACTATGCATCATATTTTGTAGGCAGCTCACGTGTTCTGTGTGTAACTGTAGAGTCGCCATGTTGACATTTCTCTCTGAAATGTAGTCGAGTAAAGTGGAAATACTGACAGAAAAGTGATCATTTAAGCACATCTAGAAGGTACTTGAGTACAGCACTTGAGAAAATGTACTTAGTTACGTTCCACCACTGGCTTTGGTTGAACTGGCCCTTTAAGGACAGGACTGTGTGGAAAGACCTAGAAGAGACACATTCAGGACCTCACATTGGCCCTTTTAACGGATACTCGGGAGTCTTCAGAAGACACACTTCTACTTTGCTACTTGAGTAACATCAATCCTGCTTGAAAAATTTTTAAAAAAAAATCTACATCCACCTTTCACGGGGCCGAGCTTGCCGCTCTGCAGCATGATGGTGAGCATGAGGGCGAGCTGGGGCGCGCTCTCCGAAAACGTCTCTATGAGCCGCAGCATGCTCAGGTCGTGGTTCAGGTACACGGCGACGCTCTCGGGGTCACGGATGTCTGAGAGGGACCTGCACAAAGAGAGCTCCACCACACCCGCGTGCCTGGGGAGGCAAAAGGTGGTGGTGGTGGGGGGGGGGTCGAGAAAACACACAGTTATCATGTAAAACTGTTTAACAATCAAATCATCTGTAAACAAGGAAGCTGTGGTATAACTGGTGTTGCCACTATTCCTGAGTCACTGTGGTCCCATAAAGGAATCTACAGAAACAAAATGACACACACACAATGTAACAACAAAATAACCTCAATCATGTACCCCATTCAGAGAAAATGAAACTGAAACAGTCACACACACACACGCGCACGCACGCACACGCACACACACACCTGAAGTACATTCCCAGCTGCAGGACGTGTAGGAACTTGAGCATGAACGGGGTCAGGCATTTCTCCACCTTCGTCTGCCTCTGGTCATCGTCCTCGTAGCTGTACCACAGCCAGCTGAAGGCCTGGACGAGGACGGACGAGCCCACGAGAAGCAGCAGCAGGATGCAGAGGCTCACGTAGTCTTCCTCCCGGTAGAAATCCCAGACGGCGACTATGTCCAGCACTATGTCCAGCAACAGGAGCCCCAGGCCCAGACAAGTGAAGAGGATGTCCACGGGGGATAACTTGAACACCCCCATGGTGTCCCGTCAGACCGAAGTTAACAACCCCCCCTCACACTAACTGGCTGTTTGCTGCCCCGCTTCGTTCTCTGGGACAGAGCCGCTACCGCGTCACTCATTAGCGAAGAAGACAAATGAAAGAGAGCAAAGGTTCAGTGTTCAAATACTGTGCAACTCCTCTTTCAGGGTAACGTCACATCTTAAAGACACAGTCATATTATCACGACCAGTTTACGTGCAACTCACACCGAGAGCTGTCACTTCAACAGTTAAGCTCTGCACTAGTCCCAAGGTTAAGGTAAGTTACTTTACTGTAAAAAAACAAACAACAAAAATAATTAGAATACAACATCGGTACCACTTTATTGATTGCACATGGCGAATGAGGTAACATATTCACAACCAGCGGTGACCTTGACTTTTGGTTTCAGCAGTCTGTTGACAAAGACGTGGATCAACAACACTTTTTGAACCGTAAACCAGAAACAAAGAATGAACCGACAGAGGTGGAAAAAACAAACAAAAAAAACATCTTGAATTCACTTTTAGGACAGCTGGAAAACAAAGTGCCGAGAATAATGTGTAGCACGGCTTGTACACAGATACTGAAGTAAAGACGTGTGACATTTAAACAACCTAAACAAACACTGGATGAGCAACAGTCACACTAGTGGTTCTGTACCTGAAGCCAGACTGATGTCTGCTGTCGTTAAAATAGATAGATAGGTAGATAGGTAGATACTTCATTAAGCCCGCAAGGGGACATTTTTTTTATATATTGTACCCACAATTCTTGGTTGACATTTCAAGAATTTATTTCACACCATCTTGATAAAAAAAACTGTCCAGAGTCGTAAAACAGCTGTTTCACACAGTAACAGAACATAGAAATGATAAAAACAGACCTTATGGTCGAGTCTACATTCAAAGTCCTTCAAATAGGTCCCAGTGGCAGCAGCTGCAACAACACAACACACAAAGAAACACAACACACACGTTTTGACACCCCTCGTTATGTAAAAACCTCAGAAATCCAATCTTGGTCCTTCAAATTTAAAGATGAACTACATACATTAAGATAATTACAAATAAAGTGTTATTTACTCATGTATATATTATAATATTGTTTTATATTTATTTGTTTGTATTTTGGAAATACAAGGCGTTTACACAACAGCAACAACAAACCCTTATAACTATATGGTATGTATGGAAAAAGTTATCCCCATGATTTGTACAATTTCACTTCATGTGTAAAGATAACAAAATACTTTTGGCTTTGTAGAAAATGTATCAAATAGCTTTCAAATTCACTTTCAAGTTATCAAATTAGTGCATCAAATTACCCCCAGTTTCAAGTAGAGCTGATACATACGATAATGCACACAGTGAGATCATAACAGTCAGTTCAAACCGTGGCAGCTGTCCTCTTTAATATCTATGGTGGTATTAGGACATTGTGACGTAATTCAACAAGCAGGTTTATGGAATATTTGTAAGTGTCTGGATTAGTAAACATATTTTAGTCAAAGGTTTTTTCCAGGAATTCACTCTATTGCAATATGTGTACTGATGCATGGTGTACTGTATGTACTGATATGAACACGATTTGATCCACGTTGCCCACTTCTTTGTTGAAATGCTGTATTTGAGCCAGTAATTTGGTTCATGAGATACTGAGCACATCATCAGGAAGTACACTTTTGGCTGTGACGCACAACAAGCCGGACATCACAGACGTGATGACTCCGCTCCATTTGTGGTGTCAGAGTTTCTAATGAATCCTTTCTTTGAGTAAAAACGAGCGGCGTGGCCAGCCATCCGTCTGTTGAGGAGCTGGGAGGACAGGTCGCCGTCCTGGATGGAAAAGACTCTGAAGGACACGTCTGCATCGGGCTGATCGACGGGAAGTCCTGGGTCCCTCACCGGCGGCCTCCACAGCTTGGGGTGGAAGCAGCAGTAGTAGAGGGCCTTGAAGAGCAGACCCAGGAGGTAGATGAGCGGTAGAGCGATGAGCAGAGCAAGGGCGTACGACTCTGTCTGGACGGGGTCCCTGTAGCACCACCAGGTCGTCAGCAGGATCACTCCGTCGGTGGTGATGAAAGAATGGTAGATGACGCTCCTGCTTCGGGTCTGACCCTCGGCCACGTTGAACCAGCTGAAGTACCAGATGAGCCCCACGGTGGCCCGGTAGAGCCACTCCCCGCCGACGCTGTCCATGAAGTTGGTCCCCTGCTGCCAGGCCCACAGCGCGAAGACGGACCACAGCATCAGGAAGTGGGCAGCCATGTACCCGGACAGGGCCGAGGCGAAGAGGGCGAGGGCGGCCACGCGCGGGGCGATCAGCAGCAGGTTCCACAGGAAGTAGATTAAAGAGGAGCACCAGCCCTGCTTGGCCTTGTCCGGGAGGAAGGAGCGCAGGGAGCGGTGGTAATCCACCACCATCCAGGCTATGGAAGTGGTCGATGCAGCGATGCTCACAACTGCCAAAAAAAGAAAAGAAGTTACACAATCAACGTAGCAACCCGGGAGGAAGTGAACACACATTCGTGATGTTTCTCGACTTGCCACAACACAAATAAAAGTGCTTTTACAAGCTAAATGTGGGTCGCTATCTTTGATTCGCTGATAACAAACACTGTCCCGGGCTGAGGAAGTTTGCTTTTCTCGTGGGGTGGAAGTAAACTCACACTGAACGGTCCTGGCCTTGTTCATGTGCAGCATGACGTAGATCATCAGGGTGAGCTGGGGGGCGCTCTCGCAGAACGTCTCGATGAGCCGCAGCATGCTGAGGTCGTGTGTCAGGTACACGGCGTACTCCGATCCTTCCTCTTTCCGCCACCAAACCCTGAAGCCCTGTCGTATGGCGGAGATGTGCCTGTGTGGAGAGAGAGAGGGCCGTTAACCGTGCGTGACATATAGACTGTGAGAAAACTGCCACCACATACCAAACCCCACGCAGCTAAACGGCCTCTTATGAGCATGGGAATGGAAGCAACCTGGCATGACGCATTAGCCTCGTTTGTGCTTCTCATGCCTCATTAACTCATTATTTGTGCATTTTAAGAATAGAGTTCTCTTCTGAGACACTGGTTTGACGTATTGCCACACCCGACATGTTCATTTATGGTCACGGCACCTGTCAAATGTTATTAGCTACTTGCTCTGTGAGAATATCTATTGATACAGAGAGAAGCACTCCTGCAGCTGAGCCAATGGTGCATTATTTCAGTTTTGGCAAGATTAAAGTGTGTTTGCATAGTGCATCAATTCCTGTAACATGTTTTATTATGATCTTAAGAAACCAGATAAGCATTTGTAGTCTAACTTAAATAGGTGTAACGTTTTAGGCTGTTTGATTCCATACATTCAATACAATTTATTTTGTACAGCCCAAAATCACAAATTTGCCTGAGAGGGCTTTACAATCTGTTTACATCCTCTGTCCCGGGACCCTCATATCGGAACAGGAAAACCCCTTTAACAGGGAGAAAAACCTCAAGGAGAGCAACAGAGGAGGGATCCCTCTGTCAGGATGGACAGAAGATGGCATGTGTACAGATGGACATCATAACAGAGTTACAACACATTAAATGCACATGACAGAAATGATTAATGAGAGTAGTAAGCAGAATAATGATATAACAATGATGAGCACTAATAATAACAGTGGATAGATATGAACTTCAATAGTTACTGTGGGTTTTGCTCAAACAACCAGGTGATCAGCTGCGTCGTTGTGGTGATACAGCGGGTTTACTAACACTCACACAGTGGTCGGTCTACCTGCAAAGGAAACCCAGCTGCAGCACATGCAACACGCAGAAGAGCGTCATTCGGTCCCCGAAGAACACGGACGCTCCCACGGTCTGGTTGCGGAACCCCTGCAGCTCTCGGTCATACTTGAACCAGAACCAGCTGAACGTCTGGACCACGACCGACGACAGGACCATGAGGCCGACCAGCACCCCGAACCAGACGACGTCCCCGCGGCTGTAAAGCTCGGTGGCCACCCACACGTCCGAGCCCCAGTCCACCAAGAAGGTACACACTCCGACCACAGAGAAGGCGAAGTCGATCCAGGAGTATTTCGAAAAAGTCGCGCGCTCCATGACAGTTTTTTTTTATTGTTTGCTAGTTGACCAACCAAGCGACCTGTTGCTGGTTAGCTCACATTAGGCTAGCGTCCTGTACCGTTACCTCAGCTCCCACAGAGACTTCTCTTCACGCCATTGAAGAGAGAAGTTACCAACACTTTTATATTTGAGCTACAGTTTGAACTCACTCCAATAGCTGATACAACAACGTCGCAGGCATGGCTACATGGAGAAAAGTGTGTGAAACAACCTGCACATAAGAGGGCAGCTGGTGTGTTTGTAATGTCCCCCCCTGTCTTTGTAGTTGTTAGCCCCGCCCACAGCGGCTCGTGCATGAAGCGACAGGATGTAAAGGTTTCTGTAACTTGTAAAGACCACAGCGCGCGTTCGACAGAAAACCTGAAACGGTTAGTCGATCATTTGAGATCATTTTCAATGTGAAAAATGCTGAAAATGTGTTGTTTCAAATATAGTGGTGGAAAAACAACTAAGTACATTTAATGTATCGGTACTATACTGCTACCTCGTAGTTCTACTCTAATTCAGAGGTAATGTTGTACTTGTTACTCCACAACATTAATTTGAATGACCTTTAGAGCCATTAGACATGACCTTTAGTTATTTCAACTTTCAGATTCAGATTGATAAAACAAATTATAATCATTAACTTAAATATGATGCAATATTATAGATGAGGATTTAACTTTATTGATTTCTCTGGGGAAATTCACAAGCTACCCATAAAGTACATCAGTTAGTTAAAATGAGTCACACTTTTACCAGCTTCAACATCAGAATCAGAATCAGAACCGTTTATTTGCCAGAGTATGTTGCACATACAAGGATTTTGACATGGTGGGTAGTGCATAACATTAACCAATCAACACAGTGCAAAAAATAGAAACATATTAAAATGTACAATACAATATAAAATATAGTGCACAGACAAACAGATAACAGTACTTTAAACAAGTGTAATGTAGGTGTAATGTAAAAATGTCAAGTGTATTTAAATATAGAAACATAGAAGGGATGTGCAGGGGGTGGACCAGTAGGAAATTGTCCTGTTTACATTAAAGTAAACAAAATATATAAGTATCAAAAGTAAAAGTAGTCTTTATCCAGAATAGCCCACTTCATAATCAGATATAAATTAATAATAATAAATAATTAGCGATCCATTTAAATGTAAGGCGGGGCTACTTCAAACTGCTTTACTTTGCACATATTGGTAAATACCTGAGAGACTGTACTCAGGCAAATTCAACCCACAGCAGAAAAAAACACGCCCCCTCTAGACGCGACCTATTGTATCAAAGGAGCGCGCGTGTGTGTGTGTGCCTTTGCAGCCTCATCTCTGTGTTCGGTCGGTTTAAGCCGGATCCCACATTTCGCAAGGTTAGCGCACGCAAGCTAGCACGATGTCGAGGGTGTACATCGGACGACTGAGCTACAGGGCCCGAGAGAAGGACGTGGAGAGATTCTTCAAAGGCTACGGGAAGATACTCGAAGTCGACCTGAAAAACGGGTAACGTTGAGGCTCTTTATCGATGTCCGTTGTCGGTGAAGCTGCACAGGCCGCACCGTGACTATAACGTGTAGTCTGGGCCTTATTGTTCGCTGCAACCTGCTACTGCTATCTAGCTAGTTAGTAGCGTTTGATCTTTACCAATGAAAACAGCCGAGGGTGTAGTACACTGCGAGGTCTTGGCTTTGTTTACTGCTTGTATTTCTTGATACGCTACCGACGTAGAAGTTTGGGTTTGTGAGCGTGTGCGCTGTCGCGACCACTTCTAACTAGCTAACGTTAGCTAAGGTTAGACGTGGCAATGTCACAGGCCGTCTTGTGTATTGCAAGCGAACCGCAAACTAAGCAAGCGCGAGTTTAGTCACAATCGCGTGTAACTATAGATTGGATCCGCTTTCTACTTTCTACTGCAGTCCGGCAACAAATGGTTTGTAGGAATCTCCGAGATACTTGGTCACGATCACGCCCCAATATGTCATGTTCAAACTTCTTTGTTCAGCCGTGCATTATTAGCAGTGAATAAGAGACGACATTGATACTGCTGGCTTATTTTTAGGTTTTGAACAGACTTCACCCGTTATGTACCATTGCTGTAACATTTCTGTTAATTTTTCATTACTATACAAATATTTGGGCTTTTGCTCTGCATTTCAGAACATAAAAAGTATTATTTTATATAAATAATATAATCTTAGCAAAATTTCGCATTCACAAAAATACTATTTTATTTAAAGTTTTTATAACTGACATGCAACGATTATTCAGCACTCAACAAAGCCCAGAGTATAAAGTATTAGTGCAGCTTGTTTTTGTCTGTCCACCTGTCCAGAATATAAAGTTTACAATAGAAGACAAAGAAGAATTGCATTTCTTTTTTGAGAATATACAGGTTAGTTTTCTGATGCCCATCCAATCGATTAATCAACTTCATATTTTCACGACCTCGCATCAACATCACACAAGCAATATTATACACAAGACAGTTGAGCTTTACATCGTCTTAGTTTGTAGCACTTATTTGTCTTTCAAATTAACCAGCTTGGAAGATGTGATCGTCTTTCCTAAAATCATCTGTGAATGAGATCTGTAACCAGGTCCCACCTTTTTTAAAGGAGAATGTGACACAACTGTGACCAAGATTACATTTCTTTGTTCTGCTATTGCGTTAAGTGATTTGTGGAGGTGTGTATGGGGTGTCTTTGGCCAATCCTCTGTGTTTTCGATTATGTTCATCCAAATCCTTCGTTGTCGCCAGGTCTTAACATGTTCTCTTCTTTCATAAAGGTATGGGTTTGTTGAATTTGATGACCCACGTGATGCAGATGATGCTGTGTATGACTTGAACGGCAAGGAGTTGTGTGGGGAGAGGGTCATTGTGGAGCACACCAAGGGACCCCGTCGGGATGGAGGTTATGGTGGTAGTGGCGGAGGCGGTGGTGGCGGAGGCGGCGACAGAGGCGGCGGCGACAGAGGAGGCGGCGATAGAGGAGGCGGCGACAGAGGTGGCGGCGACAGAGGTGGCGGCGACAGAGGCGGCGGCGACAGAGGTGGTGGTGGAGGAGGTGGTGGAGGAAGAAGTAAGTGTTCAATGGAGAATTGTTTCTTTCACATGGATAATGTCATTTGATGAGGGATTTCATTCATTACAGGAAACCATTGAGCTAAATTTCAAAGGGCCAAAAATTTAAGTCCTTGGTGGCTGATGTGCATTCAATTCATGTCCTAGTGTAGGTTTGACTCTCTGATCAAGGTGGATTGAGTGCAGATGCACTCCAGCTTTTTCAATCCCAATGCCAATACCTGGGTATCGGCCGAGTACCGATTCATTACCTGTTTGTTTAATAAGCCGTATGCATCTGTGTGGAAGTCACCATTCTTTTTTTATCAGGCTGGACTGCAGCATTGTTGTTTTTAATATATATATATATATGTTTTTAATATATATATATATATATTAGTTAAAAAGAATTGCAATTCAAGTGTAAACTCTTTTTTTAATGCAGCAACAAATAGGTCGCACGGCTCTACTGATACCTCATCTCCATTCATTCTGACTGAACAGAGTCTACTTGTGCAGATTTAAATGTAAACCCCCCTCCCCCCCCGTCTTACTCTCACCAGTATCTACTGTTGTCGTGGCCTCAATGAATCCTCCAGGGTTCTGATGGCCTGCTTAACATAAAGGCATGTCTCTGTTTCTGGATAGGGCACTCCACTTAACTTAGATGAGCACTCCAGCTCATTACAACACTCAACAATTGTTTTTTGTTTTTTTTTTAGTTCAGCAGGGGTGGGAAGATATTTCCACATCAGTACATGACACGATCAAATTTGTGTGCACCAGAGCCACCAATGACTTGAAAGATCTTTTTGGTTAGAATTTGATGGATTTGAAAATGAAGTTACATGTGATGGGGAAATGGCTTACTGATGGAAAGGATATAAATGTCTTAATTTGAATACTGTAAACTTACTATTTGATTGTTAAATATCCTGTAATCTATTGATGTCTTATTCCGTTTTTTATTTTATTTTAAATGATTGTCAATTTAAAGGTAAAGATTTAACAAAGAACCTCAATGTTTTAATTGAAAGAGTCCTTTGCTGACTGCCTGCCCCTATTGCTGGCCATGGTGTCCCCCCTTTCCAAGAGTGTGGTTTGACCATTCTGGGCCCCTGGGCAGACCAAAAAAGGGAGCCATTGTGAATGAAGACCGCTTTTCCAATTAGGCCCAGGCCGGGTGGTGAGGATGCCATGGGGTTAGGATCAGATGTGGGTTCGGCTCTTATAGGTGCCTGAAAAAAAAGAACATGTTTTGTAACAGTGAAATGTTGTTAGATAAGATAGCTTAGAAACTTGCTTTAGTTCACCGTAAGTACTTCTTGATCAGTTATGTTTTAGATTTTCTTATTTAGAAAATAGGCATATTGACTTCTTTTTTTTTTTTTACCAAAATTGAATAAGCTACAGCTGTGTTAGGTTTAGGTTTTTGGAAGTCATTCCTATTTTGTAGACATATTTTTATTTTTTTAGGATATAACCAATTATATATTTTTTCACCTTTCTGATTTTCCCCTTTTTTCTTTCCTTTTTCCCAAGTGAACATTGATATATTTTGTAGTATGTAGCTTGGAGTTCAGTATTAATGCACTACCACAGTTTCTTTTTGGTCCTCATTTTTTTCCTGTCCTTTCCTTGTTGCCTTAAAAGGTGGATATGGCCGCTGGGGAAGAGACAGATATGGTCCACCGATAAGGACAGATTATCGGCTCATTGTTGAGAATCTTTCCAGCCGCTGCAGCTGGCAGGACTTGAAGGTATGAAGCTTTTTTTTTTTTAAGTGTTAAGGAAGTGTTGTCCAAAAGCCAATAAGTAATGCATCTGAAGTGTTAAGAACTCCTTATTTAGAAATATAAATGCACAAACTGTCAACCAGTTTAACGTGATGTACTCAGTTTGTCTGAAAGGCTTTACTTGATGATGCATTTCCTCAACAGTCACACAGAATATTGAAATGGATAATTGCTGTGCAGGCTATTAAAAATTAACTGAAAAATAAAAACACAGAAGAAACAAATTGAGGCTTCACTCCCACCTTTCCTCAGAAAAAAATACACGGTGACAATCTTTAAGATGGCCGTGCTCACGCAGTTTCTCCATTTTGAGTTTGTCAGCGTGTCTTGCATTTCTCTCCTGAGCTGAGTGTGTCGATAAAGTCGTCCCTTTCCCCTGATCACTGCGTTTCCGTTTCTCTAAAGGACTACATGAGGCAGGCCGGGGAGGTGACTTACGCTGACACCCACAAGGGCCGGAGGAATGAGGGGGTGATCGAGTTCAGGCTCTACTCCGACATGAAGAGGGCTCTGGAGAAGCTCGATGGCACAGAAGTGAACGGCAGAAAGATCCGGCTGATCGAGGACCGCCCCGGAGCCAGACGCAAACGCTCTTATTCTCGCAGCCGCAGCCATTCCAGGTATTTCCACAAGGCTTCCTGGTGCATGTCGTTTCTGACTGTAGCAGTACTATGAGTAATTGTACTGCGATGCAGTAGGATTTAAACTGTGCTTGAAACTGGTGACAGATGCAGCTTCATACAATCCCTTCTGCTTGTTGCTAATTGTTACTACCCGTGTTCTCAGGTCCCGCTCCAGGAGCCGCAGGTCTCGCAAGAGCCGCAGCCGCAGCGAGAGCAGCAGTCGCAGCCGCTCCCGCTCCAGGTGAGAAACCCAACCCGTCAGAGGGGATGTTTTGCTAAACGCCTGGCGATTCTGTCGGCAATAGAGCCGTCAATAAACGGAGTAAACTAACTTGAGGACGTAGTCTTTTTAGATTAGTTTGTTCTTGGTACAGAGGGGACACACGTCCTAGTTCAGTTGCTGTGTCCAAACTGCATTCGTTTTCACAATCAAAGATTTTGGCGCTCCAGTAAGTAAGATGAGAGCACATGTTTCTATGAATAGATTTTCATGAAAGTGCACAGGTGCATGTGCCTATAGCTGCTGACAGCAAGTAGAAGCCCGATATCTACAGCTGTTTACTCTAAGCAGGCCATGGCCACATGGCCGGGTCACTCTGATGGGTCATCTGCCTGTCATAAACACGGGGCTGAATGTGGCAGTGGAGTAAAAATACTCCCCATGTCCTGTGTGGAGGTTTTGTTTTTTCAAAGTGGAAAAAAAGTTGGCCACAGCAAAGAATCAAACAATAAGTTCTATCTGGTTTTGTCCACAGAGCGGCGTCCAACTCCCGCAGCCGATCTCGTAGCAAGAAGAACAAGATCAAGGTCAAGAAGGAGGAGGAAGAGCGCAGCAACGGCGCTCCAAAGAACAAGGAGCGCAGCAGGAGCCGCAGCCCCAAGAGCAGGAGCCCCAAAAGCAGGAGCCCCAAGAGCCGTAGTCCCAAAAGCAGGAGCCCCAAGAGCCGCAGCCCCAAGAGTAAAAAGAGCAAGAAAGACGTGAAGAAGAACAAGAAGGATGAGTCCAGGTCCAGGTCTCGCTCTCGTTCCAGGTCTCGTTCAAGATCTGGGATTAAGGATCGCTCCAGGAAATCCGGCTCAAAGAGCCGCGAGCAGCCCAAGAGCGAGGACGAGGGAGGCGAGGCCGAGCGTGGCTCCCGCTCTCGTTCACGCTCCCCCGCCGAATGCAAAACCAGAGCCAGGTCTAAATCCAAGTCCAAGTCCAAATCCCGCTCCCCCTCCCCCACCAAAGCCCGCTCCCACTCCCGCTCCGCCTCCCGCTCAGAGTCCCGCTCCAAGTCCCGTTCCAAATCCCGCTCCCAGTCTCGTTCTCGCTCCCGTTCCCGCTCGTAGTTCATATTTTGAACAGTTTTGATCCCTTCTCCCAGTGTCTCCCACTACCCGCCATTTACATTTCCCGAACCCCTCCACTCTTTCCCCCCCCCCCCCCCCCCCTTTTTTTGATAAATAGCTGTAGATGACCAGGCACTCGACGTCTTTTATGCACACGCTACTCCATTTCATTTGACTTTTACTCTGTGTATTTTTTCATTAGCTCTGTCTCGTATGGGGGTGTTTGTAAAACAGGGTGCAAATCTCAGTTTTATAAGTTTAAATGATGGTATGGTGCGTGTCTTAGCCTTTTTTTAATCCAATGTAGAAGCATACTGTTTCGTCAGAAAGCCTGGTGGGAAGAAGTTCCACCATCTCACCTTTTTGTGAAATCCTTGTATCATTTTATTTCAGATTAAAGAAACACCTGTTATACATTGGATTTGAGTTTTTGTATTGGTCAGTGAGCTATTGTCTTGATTCCAATTCTAGCAGCGTTTATATACATCTATCTATACATCTATCTATACATCTATACATCCATCTATACATCTATACATCCATCTATACATCTATACATCCATCTATACATCTATACATCCATCTATCTATACATCCATCTATCTATACATCTATACATCTATCTACATCTATACATCTATAGATATATATCTATCTATAGATATCTATCTATAGATATCTATCTATAGATATCTATCTATAGATATATATAGATATCATATATAGATATATATAGATATCGTATATAGATATCGTATATAGATGTATATAGATATCGTATATAGATGTATATA